TTTGCCGTTTCAAAGCGCTACTCTGTCAGGCAGACAGGCAGATAGGCAAGACGACAGGCAGACAGGCGGGCGGGCAGGCAGGTACACAGGCAGGCAGGCAGACAGGCACGCAGGCAGGCAAGCAGACAGCCTGACTGGGTCTGCCTCTCTGCCTGTCTGTCTGTTTGTCTGTCGATCTGGCAGGTGTTGACGTGGCAAGCAGCTGTTGACGTGGCAAGCAGGTGTTGACGTGACACATATACAGGCATGGGTGTGTGCCACGACCTCAGGCAAGGGGTTAAGAAAAAAAAAAAGTGCCAGGTAATCAGACAGACAGATAGGCAAGACGACAGGCAGACGGGCGGGCACGCAGACAGACAGCCAGACAGACACCCATGCAGGCAGACAAGCAGACGGGCTGACAGGCAGACGTTGACGTGGGAGACACACAGACAGACAAACATGCAGACAGGCCGAGGGACAGGTGTAACTTGGTAGACAGGCAGACAGGCACGCAGACAGATGTTGACGTGGGAAACAGGGAGACGGACAGAGAGGTAGAAAGGCAAACAGGTAGACAGTTGTTGACGTGGCAGACAGGTAGACAGGCACGAAGACAGGTATTAAGTGTCTGTTTTATTATCTGCCTGTCTGCCTATCTGCCTGTCTGCCTGTCTCGCAGGTGTTGACGTGGCAGACAGCCAGACAGGCAGGCACACAGGCACACAGGCAGACAGACAGGTGTTGACGTGGCAAACAGGCAGACAGGGACCCATACAGGTATTGAGGGTCTGTTTGATTGTCTGCCTGTCTGCCTGTCTGCCTGACAATTTTTTTTTTTTTTCTCTTTTGTATTGCACGAACTGATCCTGGAGCTGGACCTGAGCCCGGAGCTGGTCGTGTTCTCAGGTTTACGTGGGTGTACGCCCTGGCGCTCGGGTCCAAGTTCTAGCCCGTGTCCAGTTGCACACCTTGCCCTGGCGCTGATCTGCCCTTGCAACCCAGTTCACTTGGGTCAGGGACCGCGTGTGGTCAGGGCACAGAGGGTGACCAGCTGACCGGGCTGGTGCACACCCATGTGCTCGTCCTGCCCGGTGTCCAGTTCCAGGAATTGACCTGCCGCTGGTCTGCGGGTCCGTACCCGTTGACCTGGGTCTCAGCCTGGGTTGTTGATTGGGTGTGCGCCTGTGCCCCTTCGAGTGCGGTATGGACCCAGACCTGTTTTTTTTTTCTTTTTTTTAGCACGAACCTATTTTTTTATTTTTTATTTTTTTAGGATGGACCCGGGGCATGCTTGA